CACTGCATATTGTTGCAACTATCAAGTCCATTCTTCGTGTCTTATAAAGTCCTAAATGCCATTTTGTTCACCGTGTTCCAATAACTGTTGAGTTACTTTTTTTTAAACTGAAATTGTCGTTGAATGTTGGAGAAAATTGTCGTAAACCGAAAGTACTGCATGGGGCAAATTTGTCTTTATTAAGGAGAAAGAACTGAATTTTTGCTTACTTTTTTCGTGTCAAACTTCTATCCAAATTTTGTTCGTTCCCGTTTTAAAATACACACACCGTAATAACATTAATGACAAATTTTTTATTCGTATTTTCGAGATGGAGAAGAAGATATTCTTCCTAAAATTATAGAAGTTACGAAATCAAATTAGAGGAAATTTTCAGACAGAACACAAAGTTTACGTTCCAATCCATTTTCGAAGGTGATAAAGTTAGAATATGGAAAAATATTCACATAAGTTACAGAAAATGAAGTTGGCTTTCTAGAACATGTTAAATCATCCCAATCGAAGATCATAAGGAGGAGTGATGTTAAAAACACGAAAGAGTGCTAGAGCTGCCAATGCACCTTATCATGTAAACACAACCGTTCGTGACCAATATAATTTGTCGCATATTAAACACGCCTCACGAATATTCAATGCACGAAATTTTGGTGAAAGAGGATTGAACCAAAGAATAATGATGGAATCATAACCTAAATATGATGAGGTTTTATAATATTCTCAATTCATGAATATTATTTAACATTTTCATGGTTCTATAGTAGGTACATTCTTACACAAGACACATATTCCAACTTCGAGGCTTACTTTGATCATAATCCATTTCCAATCTCAGAAACATTAAGGAAAAAGGTTGTAGGAAATTTCGTTGGCTATTCGGATCATATTGAACCAACAAAATCGGACATCGGGTGCAAACTATACGAACATTTTTTCGTGCTACAAAAACTGCCTATGCATTCCTTACGCAAGAATTTCAAATTCGCCCATACGTTTGAAATGACGAATTCATAATTCTTCGGGTACACTTTTTTATTTATAAAATTCTAACGCATGCTATTAATTAAGTGATGATATGATATGATAAATCATATCGTATTATATGAGAGAGAAACATGGTTATGTTGCATGATCGAATTATGACATTATAATATTATACTCATTGATATAATTGACATGGTAACTTTATTTATGAGAGCATGATAAACCTTCAACGTTGTTATGCTCAAAGCATAGATAGTTACTATAAGTACTATTAAATGTTTGATTCGCAGAGATAATTTGAGATTTTGCTGAAATTCGTATGCATCATTTTAAATTAAATTGGTGCTATTATAAGATGTTAGTATTGTGGCACACTTGAAGTAACATATAACAATTTTTTTTTTGTGATGTTATAGTATTATGAATTGGAGATTATATTATAGTACATGATTAAATTATATGAATATTTCTGCTATGAATATAAATGATTTTCAACATGAATAATGATGTTTAGTTGGATAATGAATTATTGAATTAAATAAAATATTATTATTCTTTAATGTATGAAAGGATTAATTATTTTATGTTAATTACAAAATTCAAAGTACATAAGTATGATATATATATATATTAAAATATTATATACAATGTATGTGTAGAATATTTCAAATTGTGTAATTATGATTACATGTTTATATTATAAGTTCATAATTGGTTCCAAATGTTTATGTTATATCATAAAATAATTCATGCTATTTGTGAATATATTGTGCTTAAATCCAATATTTAGTATATTAAAGATCAAGTTGATGCATATTACCTTTAACTGTTAAAGATAACTTCATAGATGTGAGCAATTAGTGGCATGAAATATTTGAAATTGATATAAATCGAAAGCCAAGAAGCTCAATTCTTAAGGAATATTTGGATCGTCTTGATTTTTTTATGTTGTATTCATAAGACATGAGTCTATATTATGAATGATGGAGACCAAATTTTGTGGTGTTAAATACTGATCCATTCGTAAACAACAAGGATTATTTTTCTTAGAAAAATGTCAAACAAACTATGTACAATGCATGTGTAGAATATTTGGAACTGTGTAATTATGATTACATGTTTATATTATAAGTTCATGATTTGTTCCAAATGTTATGGTATATCATAAAATAATTCATGCTATTTGTGAATATATTGTGCTTAAATCCAATATTTAGTTGGGGTTTTGTGCATAAGTCCCCAACCAAAAATCTTTATTATTCTAGGTTTAGGGACTATATCTCTTTCAGCACTAAGTTTATCCCTTAAATATTTATTATAAATAAAGGAAACATTTATGTATATGCCAATATTACCCCAATCCTTTATATCCAATTCTTAATTGTAACCTCAAATTAATCAATTTTGTCCACAAAAATCCAATTTTGACCACAAAAAATTCAATTTTGATTTATTTTTTTCAAAAACTTTTTGTTTCCTTCCGGATTTTTTCGCCCGTTTCCGGCGTTGACTTTTTTTAGTGTTTTTTTTTTGTTTTTTTTTTACGTCCGCCGCTAAACGTTGACCGTAATTGTGCTGTCACTAACAGTAAATTAATGTAATTATACTGTCAATGACAGTTAATTAATGTAATTGTACTGCCGTTGACAATACATTTATGTAATTGTTCTATCGTTGACAATAAATTAACGTAATATTATTATTTTTTATTTTTTTTATTTTGTTTGATTTGTTGTGAAATCAACGTAATTATATTACTGTTGTTGACAGTAAAATAACTGTAAACACAATAATATTACTGTCAACAAGATCTATATTATTATTTTTTTTGAGTTTTTTGTTTTGTTTGAGTTATTCACGGAGTAACGTAATAATATTACTGTCTGTTATTGTAATATAACTGTAAACACAATAATATTATTGTGGCTGACGGTAATATTACTGTTGTTATAGTAATATTGCTGTCAACCACATCAATATTATTATTATTTCACGGAGTAACATAATAATATTACTATTGTTATAGTAATATTACTGTCACTCACAGTAATATTAATTCTTTTGGATTTTTATTATGTTTACATTTGTTAAACGGTCAACATAGTAATATTACTCTATTACACAATAATAATGAGTTTTTGTTGTGTTAATATTACTGTGCTAGAGATTAATATAGCAATATTACTGTGTCAAACTGTAGTTTAGTTATTTTTACTGTGTTTAACAGTAATATAGTTAATATTACTGTCAATGACAACAATATTGTTGTTTAAACGAAAAAAAAATGTTACAGAAAAAAGAAGAAAAAATCGAAAAAGTCAACGCCGAAGACCGGCGAAAAAATCCGGAAGAAGAAAAAAAAACAAAAAACATTGAAAAGTCAACGCCGGAGACTGGCGGCAAAAAAAAAATTGAAATTTTTTTTTTGAAAAAAAATAATTTTGGGTCAAAATTGAATAATTTGTAAAATATGAGGTCAAATTGAAGTTAAATTAAGTTAATGATGAAATTGGAGCATATTAAAGTATGAGGAGCTATTTTAGTCTTTTACAAAAAATTGGACCATGTGTGACTTATTGGTAAAGGAGTTTTTTGTCTGGATCTCTTTATGAATAAATACCCATTGATGGACTTATTTGTAACCCCTATTTAGTATATTGAAGATCAAGTTGATGCACATTACCTTTAACATGATAACTTCGTAGGTGTGTGCATGCATTTAATAAACAAGAATTATTTAATAAACAAGAATTAATCCTTGTTTTGCGCCCACACGTTTAATCGCAACTCCTTTACACTTTCCCAACACTCTTTCATAAGCTAATGAGTTGGCCGTACTTTCGTCACTTCCACCAAGTCTACACTCTTCATAAACTTTCTTCAATTCAGCCTAAACAACTTAAGTGCACAAGTTAAACCCAAATTTCGGCGGCATAACGACTAAAATACAAACATACAAAAAAAAATACCCATATCAATATACAATAACCAACATATAAAAAAAATACATAAATCCATATATATCAACTACTAATTCAACATATCAACATATCAATGTACAATCAAGTAATAGATCGGAACTACACCATAGATACATAAGTTTTGAAATAAATTCCAACTTAACATTCAACAATAAGAGCAAACATGGATGATTGAGATACTAAAATTGAAGTATTAAAAATATTGTGCTTACAGAAATAGCAAGTTGGTCGGGAGTAGCTGTCCTAGTAAACGGTTGATCCATATCATCTCTTCACTAGTGGATGACCCCATTGCTTGTAATGAATCAATGCCCATATACGCTTTCTTATATTTATCAACCACTGTAGGAGTTTTACTAAATTTGTTAAATTGTAATAATAAATTACAAAGTAATTAGACATTTTAAATCTTAAAGAAATAAAACTCATAGTTACAATCACTTACATATCACTACAAGAAATATTGGTTTTAGTGACAATTTTGTATGGCCGCTAAAAGTTAGAAAATGGTAGCTAAAACTTCTAGCGACCAAATTAAGCTTGGTCACCGGTGATCACAACAGGGTAGCTACTAAAAGTACTCAGTGACAAGAAAATTAATTGGACGCTAAAAGATGAGATTTAGCGGCGAACTAATAATGGTCACTAAAAATATAACTATTAACGACCAATTTTTGACTCGCTAATGTAAATTTTATGGTGGCAATATTATTAATATAGTTGCTATAGCAACATATATAGTGGCCATATAATTTTGGTCGCTAAATGATAGATACGTATAGTGACCATATTTTATTGTTGCTATAGGATATATATGTTGCCATCAAATTTTTTGGTTGCTACATAGTATACATATAGTGACGGTATCTATTGGTTGATAAATAATATATCTCTTGGTTGCTAAAATATATACATATAGTTACCATATTATTGGTTGCAATAGTTTTTACATGGTTTCTCAACAATTGCATTAATTTACTGAGCAATTCAGACCCATAAAAAAAATTAAAATAAAACTAAAGATTGCAAATTTACATATTATCAATCAAATGTAAGTATTATAATTTGTCTCTATCATACTTAATACAATAATAAATCAATCATTCCAAATAATAAGAAAGATTGCTATAATTATTTCATATTAAATTCCACTTCATAAATTGTTAAGCGACAACAAATATGACTCCACAATAACGTTCTTTCACTTCATCAAACAGTCCAAACCTGAAAGGGAAAAAAAGAATTATTCAATTAGAAGATAAGAAATCATATGATAGAATCAATTTCAATCATTTGTCACTTAGTAGCACTCATAATGCAATAATGTATCTGGGCTCTTGCAGAAATAGCTACTTACCTCATCCAATTCATGTGTTTAATGTGATACATTGTCTGAGAATTATTAGTTAGGATGAAAATTGTAATTCATTTGTTCTACTTTACATAATAATTGAGGAAGCTTAAAAAACAATACGAAATAAATTATTGGAATAAGTGTTGAATCAAGATGAGAACTTATTTGAATAGTTCGTGGAAGAAGATACGAACCGTCAAGAGGATTCCGAATAGATCATTATTTTCAACAATTCAAGAATCAAAGTAACATATATGACATTTAAGTGATCAAGAGGTGCATTCTATTTTTCCAATAAATAATAGTAAGGAAATAGAGATCCTCACCTGAAGTCCAATGCCAGTACTATAAAAACACCTTACTCTCGAGTCATGCTCAAGTCTTGAATGAGAGCTTTAGTATGCTCGATAACTATAAAAATATTTATCACTTCATAAGATTCTAAATGCTAATATAACCGTATTATTCCACTATATCACATAGTCAATTTTTTGAAACATTTATTAAGAATTTCTTGAAACATTTATTAAGAATATATTGCTGCCACAACTTATTCGAACAATCGTTACGATCACCGTACTTATCCGAATAACCTAACAGATATATCGAATTAAAGCTAACGTATGTATCTACAAGTTCACTGAGACCCTGAGCCCAAATTATCAACCTAACACAGCAATAACTGCCCCGGAAGATGATTACATGAAACTGCCAGGTTTTAAAACAAATGCATCTGCTGGCACTGTTTATTTGAAAAATCATAACAATTTATTGAGTTATCCAAAATGTTCAAATAATACACCAAGTTGAACCTGACGATGTAATCTACAAGTTCTCAGAAGACACACTGCCCAAATTATTAGCTCAACATAGCAAAAACAGCCCCGTAAGATGGATATTCAAAACTGCCCTGTTTTGACAGATTCAGGGTCGTAAGATTCTGACCTCGAAAAAGGCTATACAACGTGCTCGAATTAGAAACAATGTAACACTTACTTATAACACTCGCGGTTCTCTCCGAGTTTTGAGAAGAAATGATTCCCAAATTCGCAATCCAAACCCTCCGAGAGCCGTAGACGGCGTCGACTGCTTTAACGGAGATGAATTGTGTTTCCTTTATTTTCTTGCTTGAACGAGGGCAACAATGGTGAACAGTCAGAAAACAACTCAATTTGCAGAAAATAAAGAAAAAAAATCAAAAATCAAAAATCAAAGCATAAAATAGATAATTTGCGGCACATACAAATTAAAAACCCTAATCTCCCCAATTTTGTGTTTGCCGTTTCAATTGTGACAGAGAGGAGAACGCACACTCACCGGAAAATACACAAATGCGGAGTCTTGCCGGAAGAAAATGACGAATTCGCCGGTGAATAAGAAAATGGCTCTGTACTGAGAGAGAGAGAGAGAATTAGGGCGGGCGGAGAGAGAGAGAGAGAGAGAGAGAGAGAGTTGAGTGTATTTTAGGGCCGGTAATTTTTTTTGAAATTATTTTTGACGAGAGTACAAGTATTCTAATGCACAAGGCACAATTCCTTAAAACACATAAAAATCAAATAATATATTAATTAATGTAAATTAATGTACAAGCGGATAAAGAACAACGTACAAGTAATTAATGAAAATAATCACAGCATAATCTTGCACCAACTTATAAGTTATAAGAACAACCCATTCACATAATCCTTTATTGTTTCTCCCTTATTATCTCGTTCAATTCTTGCGATTTTTCCATTGTTAAACGTTCTGAACTTCTGGTAATACTTTGGCTCATTGTCTTGCTACTCAGTAATATCAGGCGAGAATTGGTAGAGAGAGAGAATGTAAGCGAGAGATTGAACAGAGTAATGATTTGGGATGAAAGAAACGCGTGTAACGAAAGAATGAGAATTCGTTGTGTTTTTCCATTATTTGCATTTTCACCCTCCATCTTTCTTTTCATTCTTTTCATTTCTTGATTTGTTTAAAAATTAAATTACTGACCAAATCGATTAAAATTTCATAAGTAGTTTCATAACAACCAAATTAAAGTGGTTAGTAGCAACTCAATTAGATGGTCGTTAATAATTAAATTAAAGACTTGTAGCAACCGTAAAAAAAATTGATGTTAAATTGGTCACTATTGACACTAAGCTATAGTGACCATAAAAATTGTCGCTACAAACTTTAACTTTAGTTGCTATAAGATGTCAAACTATTAGTGACCACTTATAGCCACCAAATGTTCGCCGGTCGCAAAAGGATTTAGCCCTACCGACTTTTGCTACCAAATTACTTTTGGTCGCTGAGAATTTGATACTAGTTCGACCCCAATGATGGTCTTTTGCAGCAGCCTTTCGTGAATCCTTACGTTTACTAAATTTGGACTGTGAACATAGAGCACATTAATAGACTACGTACTATATATACGAATATCCTGAGTTAATATTAAAAGTACAATTTACCTTCCATTTACCTCCAAGATTAGACATATAATGAAATTGCTCACATATCACCACTGATCCTTGATGAAAACTAATAAACTAACATATTTACAAAATTCTATATTAAGCTAATAACTCGGCAAAAATATTGATGCAATTTCTTAGATAACTAATAGGAAGATCAAAATCCATGTACTGTGTTTGAGATTGAAATCAATGAAAATTAAAGACACATGCCAAGGTATAAGTGATTATGCCTTCCAGATTGTTCAAAATATTGTTTTTTTAGAATATTAGACTCACATCACATTCACAACCATATACTGATACAATCATCTTCAATCAAATAAAAATCAAACAACAACAAACCCAATTCACTTAATGGATATATTTACTGGAAAAGAATGGAGAAAAGCACTATCGTATATATTGTGGAGAGATATATGTGGACGTATTCATTTTCGACACAAGAATTTCTGAATTGGGAAGATATGCGACGTTACTATCGAAATCGTCGCAAACTTATGCTTAATAAAATAAAATTTTTATCTTCTCCCTACGACGATTATCTAGTTTTGTCGCAATCATGTCAAAAAATTATTTTATGGAGCAACTTGCGGCGTATTTCTAGTTTCGTCGCAATTATTTAATTTTATAAATGTTGAAATATTTTTTATTGCGCCGTTTTGATTATTATCGTCGCAACTGATGTATGTATTTTTTTTGTTATTAATTGTTACGACGATTTTTAATTTTCGTCGTTCAATTGCGACGATTACGGAGAATCGTCGCATATGTTTGAAGTTAAATTGGATCTTAAACTGATTGCGACGTTTTTGGTACAATAACGTCGCAATACTGCGACGAAACTTGAATCGTCGCTAATAAAATCGTCGCCAGAGTGCAGTTTTGGCCTAGCGGCAACTAGTGGCATGTAATATTTGAAATTCATATAAATCGAAAGTCAAAAAGCTCAATTCTTAAGGAATATTTGAGTAGTTATCAAAAAAGAATATCGAAGATAACCGATCCGTTGGATTGTCTTGATTTTTTGATGTTGTATCTATAAGACATAAAAGTCTATACTATGAATGATGGAGACCAAATTTTGTGGTGTGAATACTGAACCATTCGTAAATAATAAGGGTTATTTTTGTTAGGAAAATGTCAAACAAACTATATCAGATTGTTTTGGAAAATTGCATCGTTGGATATTGTGAACGGTGGGAGTTTCTAAACTCTAGATTTGAATTGTGTACACATTATCACATTTTAATAAGAACTTTCTTGATTTTACTATCTTGAGAAGTTTCTTATTGTGTGTTCTATTGAAACGAAATGAGCACAATACGTATAAAAAAAAAATCACATTGGTGATTAAAAAACAGTCTTTACAAATAAGCCCATCAATGGGTACTTATTCATAAAGAGATCCAGACAATAAATTCATTTACAAAAAAATCCACACATGGTCCAAATTTTTGTAAAAGACTAAAATAGTCCCTCATACTTTAATATGCTCAAATTTCATCATTTAATTTAATTTAACCTCAATGGGACCCCAAGTTTCATAAATTATTCAATTTTGACCCAAAACACATTCTTATGGACAATTTTGTCTGTCACCGCCGTTGACTTTTTTTTTTTTTTTCTGCCATCGGTTTCCAGCGTTGACTTGTTCGGTTTTTTTTTTTCTTTTTTCTTTCTTTCTGTAACATCTGTTTTTTTCGTTTAAACATCAATATTGCTGTGATTGACAGTAATATTAACTATATTACAGTTAAACACAGTAAAATTAACTATACTACAGTTTAACACAGTAATATATCTCATTGACTAAAAAAAGATGAAATGAGTGCCTACAAGACAGAATTCATTACATTCAACGCTTTCTTATAGGGTTATTGTCAACGACAGTACAATTACGTTAATGTAGTGTCATTGATAGTATAATTACGTTAATTTACTGTTAGTGACAACACAATTACGGTCAACATTTAGCGGCGGACGTCAAAAAAAAAAAGTCAACGCCGGAATCCGGCGGCGGAAAAAAAAGACCCGAAAAAAAAAATTGAATAGTCAACGCCGGAATCCGCCAGCAAACAACTTTTTTTTGAAAAAAAAAAGGTTTTGAAAAAAGTCAAAATTGATTAAATTGGGGTTACAATTAAGAATTGTGTATAAAGGGTTGGGGGTAATTTTTTCATATACATGAATGTTTCCTTTATTTATAATAAATATTAAAGGGATGAGCTTATTGGTGAAAGAGATATAGCCCCTAAATCTAGAATAATAAAGATGCTTGGTTAGGGATATATGCACAAAAACCCCTTACAAATATTGTACTACTTATGAAGAAAGTATTTGTTACTTTTGTTGGTGACTGCACTCAAATTATTATGCAACTTCGTTAAGTAACAAGTAAGTAGCCGATTAAGGTTCCAGCATGTGCGAATTCCTCTACCCGCGCCGTCCTCCGCCCATTCCACCAAAAAACCCTAGATTTACCTCCCATCGTTACCACACCGCCGCCCCACCAAACTACTCAAACAATCCTTAACAAAAATAAAATAAATAATTCATAAAAAAACACAAATTAGCATTTCAATGTCAAAAAAAAAAAATACAGGAACAATTCCAAGTATTTGTCAACCATTACTGGACACTCCATAACAATTTCTGAACACATTCAAAAAACCAACCCTTAAAAAATTATAAAATTAAAAAAAATAAAAAATAAAAAAACCTCATCAACATCAACAACAACAGTGATTTCTCCTGTCCCATCCCCGTAGCCGTCAACCACTGCGTCCTAGACGACGAGCACCATGTCATCATCTTTAGCGTTGTCGGTGGAGACCACCGCCGCCAAATACAGATTTATCACCACCCTTCACCCGACGGCGGGATGCAGCGGCAAACGTTCTTCCACCACCACCGGTCGCCTTCAAACATTCTTCCAGAGTCACCGTCTGATCTCCTTCTCTGACGAGGCATTGCTTTTCCTTCGAATTTCAGTTGAGAAGAGAATATGAGAAAAAGAGAAGAGAGAAACGGGAAATGAAATGGGTTAGGGTTCTGAAACGTGAAAA